CGATATACTCGTGTCTTGATTCGATTCTTCATGATAAGACATTATTATTCCGCGTTTAGCGCCCTCCTTCAGTCTCTTTACATTGCTCGCGGAACATTTCGAGTATCGAATGGCGCGAAAACCAAATATAGTACGAATTTCATTAACATACTGCGCGCCTTGATAGACTCGGACTATCAATAAAAATAATATAATTGATGAACTGTTGCTAATAATAAGAATTTCAATAACTTGCTAAGCAAATATTTGAGAAAAAACTGGTGAGTAACGAAATCATGAATATTAAGAACGAAGGAACTAAAAATATTACAACACGAATGAATTAATAACATATATCATTTTTCTTATTATCTAAATTGTCCTCGACGGATAATACGGCTAATTTAGCTGCTGGCGTTTTATATGAACCCGCTGATGTCTTGATTGTTGCGGTACGAATAACACCATCGTTGTCCGGAAAAACTTCCTCGACTCTTCCCAGCATCCATTTAAAGGGGGGTAGCCCGTCTTCGCGACAAACTACTAATTGTCCAACCTGGAGAGCTGGACCACGATTCGACTGCCATTGTGTCCGATTTTGGAGCTGGAACAAGTATTCGAATGACCAACGTCTCCAAAAATGCTGCTTCATCTGTTCCAAATGCTGCCACCTTGATAGTCGGTTCGTTTTTATCTGAGTTAAGCCTGACTCCGGATATGATACTATCGTGTCACCTATGAGGAAATGACCTGCTGAAACATAACTTAAATCGTTTGGATCATGAGACATGACAATTAATGGTCTTGAGTTGAGAATGGCTTCTATCTGGATGCTCAAAGTCGATGCCTCTTCAAACGTGAGTGGAATGTCATGGGCGATTTTGTTGAAATGCCTCTTGAAAGACTTAACTGTGGCCTCCCAGAGACCTCCAAAGTGAAGGGCCCATGGAGGGATAAAATGCTACTTGATTTGATCCATAGATGTCTCATTTACGATTCTGTGCTGATGTTCCTCTTGACTGAAAATTTTCGAAGCTCTTTCAGCTCATGATTTGCGCCAACGAAGTTGGTGCCGTTGTCAGAGAAGACATCCGATGGTTTACCTCTTCGTCCAATAAAACTCTTGAACGCATTGAGAAACGCATCAGTGGTTAAGTTTGAGACCACCTCCAAGTGGACCGCCTTTGTAGCCAAGCAAATGAATACTGCGACATATGCCTTTACGTTCTTATTGTTTCTACGCGATCCTTTACGAACGTATCTCGGTCCACAAAAGTCTATACCTATGCAACTGAATGGTCTTGAGGGTATGACCCGATGTATGGGCAAATTTCCCATTACTTGCTCCGAAAACCTTGGCCTATGCTTGAAAAATCTTATGCAACCTCGCAATAATTTTCTTACTGTACCGCGCCTTGAGCGGCCAATATTTAAGTCGTATAGCGGCTAGAGTCGCTTCTATTTCTGCGTGCATAAGTCTTTGATGCTCGTGCTCGATAATGAGCCTTGTAAGATGTGATCGTTGATGCAATAGACATGGATGTTTAACGTCCGAATGTAGATAGGAACGTTGGAATCTACCGCCAACTCGTATTATATTTTCTTCATCGATGAATGGATTTAATTGTTTCAAATTGCTTCCACTTGATACGATTCCTTTGTCTTTCAGATCCTTGATGTCTCTGTCGAACGTGAGCTCTTGATCTCTTCTTATTAATCTCCTTGTAGCTTCTTGTAGCTCCTCAACTGTCAAAGGTCCACATTGTTTATGTCCTCTGCAGTTGTGTATGAAGCGTAGACATGTGGTTGCCACTCGGATGAGCCTGTTAAGGGTAGAGGATTTGTTGAATGGATTGGTTTCCAAACCGCTGGATAGTACAACCTTCGATTTATCATGCTCTTCGAGCTAACTTTCATCGTATTCGATTGATATTGCTCTTCTGGCAGATTTTCATTGTGAAGCCAACTGGGTCCTCCCCACTAGAGTTGGGAATTAACTAACTCCTTGGCGCTGATGCCTCGTGAGACCAGATCAGCCGGATTTTGTGCGCTCCCGACATGTTTCCAGTTCTCGATCGATGTTATTTCCTGAATGTCTCCGATTCTATGAGCTATGAAGACCGGTAATTTCCTGTTGCTTGCTTGAAGCCAGTGTAGGACGATTGATGAATCAGTCCAGTAATATTTGTTGTCGATGTTGATTTCTAAGGTGCTTACAACTTTGTCCATGAGCTGAGCCAATAATTGTGCTCCACAAAGCTCTAACCGAGGTAAGGACAATGCCTTGACCGTGCGACACGAGATTTGGAACATATTAAGTGCAAAGGTACCTTCAGTATTGATACTACGCATATAGATGCAAGCTCCATAAGCACGCTCACTTGCGTCGCAAAATCCATGAATTTCTCTACGAACGTCCTGACCGCTAGTTACGATCTTTCGTGGTATGTTAAGTTCCTTCAACATTTGTAACTCTCCGATGTAATGCGACTATTTCGCTTGAAGATTCGTGGATAATGATTCGTCCCAATCTAATTGCATCTTCCACAATTGCTGAATCATGAGTTTCGCAGTTATGATGATCGGGCCTAGGAGTCCTAGTGGATCGAATATTTGAGATATTTGTGATAAGATCGATCTCTTTGTATGCATATTGGGCTTCGATATTTCGCTCAAGATCCGATACTGGAATAAATCCTTAGATGGATTCCAGTTGATGCCTAATGTTTTTGCAGATCCCACCTTGTCCAATAACTGGCCCTTGGATGTGTTTGCTAGATTCTGTAAAATCTCACTATTGTTGGATGCCCATTTACGTATTTTAAATCCATCCTCGTTGAACATGCCTATTAATTGTGTAACAACCTAACTTTATGCTCGGACGTAGCTCGTCGGAAACTTTCGGTCCAGGGCTTAAAGAGGTTCGAACGGCAAGGGGAAGATGCAACGGTTGTGATGGGCTTTAAATAACGAAACGGTGGCGGATGAACTTATAATAATATATTTAGTAATATGACGATCACGCGTAACAAATGTACAGAGAAACTGGCTACATATGTATACATCTATTTACAAGCAAAAGAAATAAATCGCGGAAATAAGCCCGGTCGCAGTTTCGGGCGGCGCACGGACGATTACAATTATGCGTTCCTTCGTGTTGCGGATTCGGCCGGCCAGAGCGATATCGTTGTCGCGGATCGCGTATATACAAATGTGTGTGTGTGTGTGTGTGTGTGTGTGTGTGTGTGTGTG